CATTTAGGGAATCTTCTCCTTCAAATACGCACAGAGTCTAACCAACATTGAAGAAACTCACCTCAGATAATTCAGTCCTAGATAATACTTGGCATCAAAACTCTCAGTCCTTAGCAAGGTTACAGAGGAGGCTTCAAAAAATTAGATAAGTTAATGAAGGACAGGTCTCCTTGCCAAGATGGTCAGAGATGCAGCCCCATGCTGAGTGTCCCTAAACCTCTGACTGACAGAAACTTGCACTACATGATTAGGATTAATACACTCAATGATTGACTGTTCCATTTGTTCCCTTTGAAACATCTGCCATTGGCTCAGTCACAAGACAGGATGCATGGACCACTGGTCTGTCCGGTATGGCCATTCTTATTTTCTAAAACAAGCAAATGGCCAACTACAAGCTCATCTAATGGAAACTAACATTCTATACCCAGCAAAATCTGGGTTCAGGCCAGGACTTGGAACCCAAACCATTGTCGTGGCACTGATGGATAATTTCCTGCTGTCAGTGGATAGAAGACAGATATCCAGTCCCATAATTCTGGATAGCTGTGCAGATTCTGCACATGAGATTCTTCTGACTTGCCTGAGACTGGTGGCAGGGGTCCAGAGTAATGTGCTAACAGGGTCGAGTCCTTATTGAGAGGACCAGCGTGATCCCTAGGACAACCCCTTACCTTTGCTCTGCCCCACCTCCACTCCACTCCTTCCCCCAGGCCCCGACTCTGCTCCATCCCTCTCCACCTCTTCCCGCCCCTCCTGAGCCTCCTCTTGTCCCCATTTAATCCATTCCTGATAGTCCCCTTCCCCCAAGAGACGTGACCCAGGGGATTATCTGGAAAGAGCCTGGCATGGAGTGGCAGCAGGAGTCCCTCTCCCCCCACACTTTTTACAGTGGTGGGAGCTGTGGGAAGCAAAGTGACCCACCAACCTGCTCCGCTCCACTCCACTCCACTGCCATCTCCCAGACAGGTTGCTCCACTTCACCATAGGGGCGGGAAGCAGAGCATCCCAGCCCCAGCCTGCTTTTCAGCAGTTTGGGGGAGCAGAGTGGCCAGGCTGAGTGAGAGGACACATCAAAGAGTAGTGATGGGAAAACTGCACTTATTTCTGTTATGCTAATAAAGTGCTCAACATTGTACTGAACCTCACACGACATGGACTCATGTGTCAACAATATGCACACGACACACAGCTCTACCTGTCTTTCACCACATATGACCATACCACCAAGATGCTCCAGTGCTTGGATGAGATCAGATCTTGGATGAAAAACAGCATGGGTTCAGCTTCACCCAGCAAGACAGAGACAATGCTGGTAGGAAGAATGAAGCATTCTGACGAGTTCTGAGCCATCATGTAATCTTCACTGATTGAAGATACACACCCACAAGTGGTAAATTCAGTCTGTAGTCTGGCACAACAGAAGTCTCCATAATAAGAGTACACTTGTTTGCACGGGAGATGGAGCCTTCTCCACGAGCAAGTCCAAGACTGTGGAATATCTCCCTCAGGAAGTATGGAGCATCACAAACCTCACCACTTTTCATTTCAACTGCCAGGCACATCTCTTTGATCTTGCCTTCTCTGACATAAACACACAAAACTAGGTATATTTATGAAAAACAAAATATAGAATCCCAAAATACCCAACACTCACATCCCACCAAACCACTCCACTGCACGTGGGGAGAGGATGAAAGAAAACAACAACCCATGACATATGAGTGGTCATGTGGCTTAATGCACCATGGGAATGTGCTCAGATACGACAGTGATGAGTGCAGTGGATCCATAATGAGACAGATAGTAGATGTGTAAAAACTATAGTTTTTTTTTCATATAACATTTGCTTTTATCCAAGAAAAATGACACCACCTGACAGAAATGGAGTTGTATGAAACTTTCATAAAAATTGAAATGTGGACAGGTTCTCCAGAGATCTAGTGAGATTGGCAAAACATCTGGTGAACTTTGGTTAACTTTCAAGCAAACCTATATAAACTCTAATAAAAATTAAGCAAATTTGGAGTAGAGATGTGATAGTGTAAATAGTTAACCAATGAGCCTGAGCTCACCAATTAACCTCTTCACTTACATGCAGTGCCCCGCCTCTCCCTGCACAGCTGCTGAACTTTGGCCTATTTCAGGTTTTCAGGTGTGAACCATGTGAAATATGTTATCACATTCTGACCCCAAACTAGACAAAACCTGGCACTTGCTTTGAGTTTCTGCAATCATTCAAATCTGAAGCTCAAACAAAACTCCCAGGATATAAACCTATATGAAATTAACTTTACAGAGAGCTTCAGAGTTGAGATGACTCAACCCTAATATCTGAATACTGCTTAGCTTTGGAGAATTTCAGATTCAGATCTGCTATTAAGCTTGAAATCTCTTCCATTTCTGGTATTCTATGATTCTCTGTTGTCCCCTCTCTCTATAATGGGCCAAACCAAAATACTGAATCTAAGTGCAAGAACTGAATCTAAGAACTTTTCTAAAATTCACATTTAGGAACTTTGTGGCTTGGCACCCATCTTTAGCTGTGAATCAAAATGGAAGAGTTTTGCAGAACTCTAACTGTAACTCT